TCTCTCCATTTATTAGATCTTCAATATATTTCATCAGCATTTTGTAGTTTTCAACATGCAAATCTTGTACGTATTTTGTTATATCTACCTGAGTATTTAATTTTTTGGAGCAATTGTTATATATATATATATATATATATATATATATATTTGGTATTGTATTTTCAATTTCAATGTCCTGGTGCTCACTGGGTATATATAGAAATACAATTGATTGTTCTTTCTGTATCTTGAAACATTCAACCTTGCTGAACCTAATTCTAGTTTTATTGTCAACTTTTTGGGATTTTCTGTGTAGATAATTATGCCATGTCAGTTAGGGAGAGTTTTGTTTCTTCCTTCTAATATGTATGCTTTTTATTTTCTCTTCTTGTGTTATTGCTCTGGCTAGATATTCTAGCACTATGTTAAATAAGTGCAGTGAGGGTGAATATCCTTGCCATTTTCCTAACCTTAGGGGAACAGCACTGAGTCTTTTAGTACTAATTATAATAAAGCTATAAGGTTTTCTTGTAAGTGCCCTTAACCAAATTGATTTTTAAATGGGTAATTAAGCAGGTTAACTTAATGATGAGGAAGGTTCCTAATGGCTTTATGAAGTAGTCAGGTGGTCTGTGTGACTAATTGGCTTGGAGTATCCACTGTCCTATCTCAAAAATTTTCTCCTAATCTGAATGAAATTTACTAAACACTCATTGTTTTGATTAAAGACATCCTATTGAATGAAGAACCTCTTAAATGACTAATATTTTATTCTGCTATCACTCTTACCTTTGTAGAATAGTTTATTTCCTCCTTGTCTAAGCACAAAAAGCATGATATGGGTGGGAGAAGGAGGCACAATTTTATTTAATTATTTATTTGAAACAAGGTCTTCCTCTGTTGCTCAGTCTGGAGTGCAGTGGCACCATCTCTGCTCACTGAAGCCTCTGCCTCCTGGGCTCAAGTAATCCTCCCACCTCAGCCTCCCAAGTAGCTGGGACTACAGGTGCACACCACCACACCTGGCTATTTTTTTTTTCAATTTTTTTGTTGATATAAGGCCTCACCATGTTGCCCAGGCTGGTCCTGGGCTCAAGCAATCCACCCACCTCGGCCTCCCAAAGCACTGGGATTACAGGTGTAAGCCACCATGCTTAGCCAGGAGGCACAATTTTGGAGTAGAGAATGCCACAATTGGGCAGTAGGAGGGTACTGAGTAGTTTTTCTAGTTGAAGCACAGACAGGAGCTCTGAAAAGGATCTGAAGCCTAATTTAACCTTTTTAAAAAATTTATATTATTTTTATATTAACTCTAATTTTAAAAGTATAAACACTGCATTTTGTTTCATAATTTATTTTCAAATGGTTTATTTAATATACTGCATTTGTTAACATCTCCTCCAAAGTGCATCTTGTAGAATGCAAAAACATCCTGTTAATGATAGGCCTTTTGTCAAGAATGACAGCCTGTCATTATTTTCCTTTCAAACGAGAAGATGATATAACACCAAGTTATAAGAATGAAGCACAAATTATATTTCACAAAAAGCATGTAACTTTTACTTACTTCATTTGGGAACATAATTACAGTATTTCATATTTTCTCAAGTTTCACAAAAATACCCTAAGTAATTAGCTCATATAGACACTAATAATTTGAAAGGGTTATCACCTTTTTTTCTGTAGCAACTTTGCTTACAGAA